ATATAAATATATATGATAACATTCAGTTTCTCCATTCTTTTTCTTTTCTTTTCATCCTTTTACACAATTACAACTCTAACCAAAGTAGGTTGTTGTAACATGACATTATCTGTGATAGATAAAAAAAAGACAGGGGAAAACAGTTGTTTTTGAAGGAAGGTACTTATGTAAAAAATATTTTAAAAATGCACCATAACATACATTATTTTACATTCAAGATCATACATATTATTCTAATAGCCACCTATTTATTTTTTCATTACAAATAAAATCCACCTTCATTTTGTAAACAATTTACAAGGTGATGCCACCGTCAAAGGAAGACAATTTTATCCCATCTATTCCCAGAAGCCTCTCACTGTTGTTGCAACACCAGGCAGGGATACTGACCAGTCCTACAGTTTGGTCTCTTATCTCAGCAGCTTTATATGATATGGTTATCAAGTGTACATATTTTAGATAATTGCTATTGCTGTTGAATTATACATACAGTATATGTCCTATTGAAAACAGTTGGGAGTTCGATCTAACCATCTAATCTAGTTAAATAGGTCTTAAAGTAATACTTTAGATAAGCTGGATAAAGTGTTCGAGGGTTTTATTGAAGTTCAACACAAATTTGTAATCCACCAATGTTGTGTTAATACAAAATTTTGACTGCTAAACAAAACTGCCCTGGTGTCTATAGATTTTAATAATGGCAGCCACAATTTTAAATGGTAATAAAGGCTTCATATATATATATATATATACAGTATATATATATATAAAGGGGTTCAAACTCACAGCTTCTGTTGAGATTACATCCAGTTTGAATATATATATATATAAATAAGAAAGTTTGAATATATTGAATACCAGTCTGAGAATATATAATGAAACTTGACGCCATTTTGATCATACTGCCCAAAGACCACTGGCCAGGCCCCTGTATACCGTTGTGTCCAAGTAGTGGGACGTTTAAATTATATAAACAAAAACAGCAATGTGACACAAGCAGCTTTGATATAAACGTCTTTCTTTATTCACTCTTGGAAGAAAGCATGAACAATCGAATACAGAACAACACATTTGTCATATGACATATGTCGACAAGGAATCAATATTTTAAAAACAACACAGTACAATGTGTCATATGGCAGCTATCAAACAAAATATCTTTAAATAAAAGTTAACATCCCCTCCTTGAATCGCAACCTTCACGTGGTGGAGGGGTTTGAGTATCCGAATGAACCTAGGAGCTATGTTGTCGGGGGCTTAACGCCCCTGGTAGGGTCTCCCAAGGCAAACAGGTCCTAGGCGACGGATCAGACAAATAGCGGTTCAAAACCCCCCCTTGATGAAGAAAGCAAATCAAGCAAAGAGGTTCACGTCGCCCGGATTGACGTCACCGGGGCCCCACCCTGGAGCCAGGCCCGGGGTTGGGGCTCGCAGGCGAGTGCCTGGTGGTCGGGTGGGTGCTCGGGTGCCGTCCCTCTGGGAGGAGACCTAGGGGAAGACCTAGGACACGCTGGAGCGACTACGTCGCTCGGCTGGCCTGGGAACGCCTTGAGGTCCCCCCAGAAGAGCTGAAGGAAGTGTCGAGGGAGAGGGAAGTCTGGGTGTCCCTGCTCAGACTGTTGCCCCCGCGACCCGTCCCCGGATAAGCGGTTGAAGATGGATGGATGGATGGAAAAGTTAACATAAATCACTCCTTGCATAACTCTGGCTCATTCCGTTCTAGAAGACATAAGTAATCGATTGTCAGCACAATAGACAGCATTTTCAAATAATAACATATAGAAATAATATACTTCCAAACAAGTATTTAAAATGAAGTATAACCTTTTTTATCACCCTTATATTATCATTACATTACCCTAAATCCATTTCAACAGTGAGCTTAGATTGTTAACCATTTTATAATTGTAATCTCTTGTTATTCTCTTAAACATATTATCACATTTTCTATTATGCAGCATTTACTGTTTTCCTCCTAATACTTGGATTACAAATATGACCATGGCATATGAAATCTCTACCCGTACAGAAAGGGGCCCAGACAAAACAGATAAGAATAGCTAATAAGACGTGTCAACTCTCGTTAAGTCTAGTGAAGTCACACCTCATGCTGAGTAAAATCAAGTAAAATCACAGTTGAGTTGATTTATGTTGAGTCAAGTTTGGTTAAAATGCAGGATATATTTTTTGAAATATGTAAAACACTTCTATTAAGTCTTGTCAAACACCAGTTATGTTAACTTGGGTTTAGTCAAATCAAAGCTCATATTACGATAAGTCATGTCACAGGTTATGTCAAGTATCTTATCTTATCCGTATCGTCCGTGGTTCCTAAATGTTCTCTGCCGGGCCCCCTTTTGGTTTATTAGAACCTTTTGCACGTCCCCCAACCAAAAAAAACCCCCAAAACAACCCAACAAAACAGGACAGGACACATGCACATGATTTGTTTTTAGACATGGGCAACAGCAAAAACAAGAATTGAAAATATCGGCCTTTACAATATTATTATCGGATATTAATTTTACACCGCCTTCAACCAACCGTTTTTGCCAGTTGCTTGCTTAACATTTACAGCATTGGATAAGATGCTACATTTAATTCATTAATTCCATCGCCTCCCCTGCAATGGCACTGTGCTCCCCCAAAGGGGCGCGTCTGCACGAGTCAAGTCAGGTCAAGTTAACCTTTGAGTTGATGTTAACTCAAAACAAATACAAATCACTTCAATAATTCAATGTTACCCACAGAAAAAGATGTCAAGAAACCTGGTTTAAAAGTATGACAGTGCATTAGATTTACATTGTGATTATTTTAACAAGAAATTAAAAGTAGCAGGACTTAAAAAAAAACAACATTTATTTAACTCGAAACAAAAATGTTCTGCCTTACACAGGAAAGGAAACAAAAAGAAGTAAAGTCAGACTAAGACAACTTAATTTAAACCATTCAGTCTGTGATGTTGAAATTTTCTCATCAATAAAGGAAAGGAAAGGAAATGGCATGCAATGAAATCCTTGACATTGTGACACACACCACTGCACACAACAAAATATGACCTCTGGATTTAACCCATCACCAAAGTGAACAGTGGGCAGCTTTTTTGCGCCCAGGGAGCAGTGTGTGGGGACGGTGCCATGCTCAGAGCACCTCAGTGGTTCTTATTGCTGGAAGTGCAAAATTTAAATTATGTCTTTGTGATTTCATGTTTAAGCATATATTTATTACATTTTAATAACATTTTATTTACTTAATTTGTTAAATTTGAACCCTGCATACATTTAACCCCATATACAGTATATTTGAGGCAACATTTACTAATAAGGATGTAAATACATAATCATAATTGTTATGTATGTAAATTCGTTTTAAACAGTACTTTAGAACACTGAGTGACTGAGGAGCGGTGTGTGGGGACGCTGCCATGCTGAGTGACATCCTAGTAAATTTAAACCCGTGTCCTTCAGTTCGCTTATTTAACTACCAGGCCGCCACTGCCCCCATCTGTCTTTTGTCCAAGTTTTATTTGCTGGAGTCTCCATTTTTGTGGTTTGTTTTTGAGTTTTTTCACTTGGGTTTTTCTCATCACTGCCACCTGTAAATAAGTGTTCCCTCTTATGATGATCGCTGGTAGCTCTGTTTACCTAGACGCGATTGTACACAGCGTACTATTGGCTAATCCGATGGGTACTTGATGTACTACTGGCCAATTGAGCTCTTCTGTTCCTAAAGCTGATTGGCTCATGCATTGTAGCATCTCTCAGCATCTCCCCTTGTCTCTCGGCCACTCTCTCATTAACTTTATATATAGTGATATAGTAAATATATATATAAATAATATAATAACTATCTCGCCTCTACTTTGCGATTTTTCCCATTTTACGGTGGGTCTTGGAACGCAACTACTGTGATAGGAGAGGGATCACTGTATACACATTGGTGAAAAATAAACATTGCTGTTACCTGCATTCACCTTACCTCTCTCTGTATTCGTCATATGAACCAATACGTAACAAGAGCATTACAGTAGCAGCACACTTCATTTGAGAAGTACTTGTTTACAATGTCTTTGACTTCACCAACTCCCATACATCTCTTTACTTCCATCATTCCAACATACGGCGTTATAACAATTTTCTCACAAGAAATAGTCAGGGACCGGAGCAGACGAATACGATGTCACGCTGGTCTATGTGTAGCAGTAGGCATTGTTTACTGGATTTGCTGGATGCACACCATACATTGGATTGTGCTACACTCTACACACACTAAATTTTGTCAGCGCCTTTGTCCCTGTTTTTAATTTTAGTGATATAAGTATTCATGTACAGTATTCAAGTTCTGAGTTATGGTCTATGGAGTAAGGAGTATATAAAACATCTTTTATAGCAATAGCTAACTTCAAAACTTGATGAATTCATAAGAAGTAGAGCTTAGAGGTGTATTTTATATTGTTTTATACATTTCAATAAAGAATTCATGTGCCATTTCACCGACATGGCAGAATGCAACTCTCTCCTGATAATAGAGAAGGTGCGCCACCAGGTGCCCAAAGGCCGTGTCCCAAGCTAAGCAGATTCGCTGGATGAAGTGGGATAGTATGTAGAAGAGGAGTGTGGAGTCAGCTGTGGAACATACTATGTAAAGAACATACTGAGCTTTACCATCAGAGCCACGTATGATGTACTGCCCTCTCCAAATAACCTACTTCTCTGGTTTGAAGAGGACCCAGCCTGTCTCCAGTGTGCCTCCCTAGCAACACTAAAACATTCTGGTGAGATGCAAGATCAGCCTTACACAAGGCAAAAACACCTGGCGCCACAACGAAGTGTTGAAGTGCTTACCGGCTCAACTGGAGGTGAGTAGGGTCACCACCAATGCCTTTAGAAGCCAAGTCAACCCTTGAGCAACCGACATCCTTTGTCCAAGATGGGGAAAAGCAACTGACCAAACAAGAACCTTCAGACACATCCACGCTGAATGTAGCTCGAGACTGGGAAATGCAGACCGACTTAAGGCAGAGACTCATTTTCCCAACCAAAATCGTAGCACAAACCTGCGGCCAGACCTGGTCCTACGGTCAAAATCCTACAGACGAGTCTCCATTGTTGAGTTGACAGTCCTGTGGGAGGAAGTTTATGAAAGGAAAAAGCTGTGTCATGCCAACCTGGCAGCTGAAGCAGAGGACCGGGGCTGGAAAGTGTTCTTGCACCCAGTGGAGGCAGGGGCTTTGTAGAAAATTACACCATAAGACTACTGTAGAAGGTTGGAGTCAGAGAAGCAGCCATTGCCTGTGGTTGAAGCAGAACGAGACAGTATGGGCTGCTCATAGAGCCTCTAGTACAACACACAGAAAATGATAAAATGATAAACATTTTAGCCTTTATGCATGACTTTTACATTAATTGTAGGACCCAATTTGGACCCAAAAGTTTGCCCACGCCTAGTATAAATGATCAGGTCAACATAAAGCAGTGTTTCTCAATAATTTTATTCCATGCACTCCCCCTAGGGGACAGAAGTTTTTACACCCCCTTCTCCACCCCTTCACTCGAATTGAAATACTATTTATCTCCTTGTAACATTTATTTATTTATCTGTACAAACTACTGTATGAATTGCTGGCACCAACATTCTGCATTCATTCCCCTGATTCCCCCCAAACTAAATTAATAGAATGAGCTGCAATACTGCCATCTAGTGACTGAAGGCTTATCATTCAAGCATTAATAAAGACAGTGTACTGACAGTCCCCTGTTGACATCTCACCACCGTCCCACACCCCCAGGGGGCTGCACTCTACTATTTCTGAAGCACTGGTTTAAATGGATTTTTGGTATTCACTGTGCTTAGTGCTCACTTTGCATATAGTGGGTATTTGTTGTTCTCTCTCTCTCTCTCTCTCTCTCTCTCTCTCAGTTAAGACTGAATAGGACTGAATGGAAAGTAGAAGGTAAAGAGCTGTTGTAAGGGGACATGCAAATCTGATTGGCTGGTAGCATTACATGAAGTTTGAGACGATCTCTGGGAGAGTAGAAGTGAAATGGTCCTAATGTTGTTGTTCAATCATGGGAGAATTGATCATCCAATTTCCAGGACTCCCCAGGACACAAAGGAACGCTGATAATTTAATCATTACATTCTAGTCTCTTTCAAGCTCTCTGTGCAAAAAACAAACAAAAAAAAAAAACAAAAAAAAAACTAGAAGGTTTTCATATTCACTTATCCGTACAGATTTATGGTGAAAAAACAAACACAATAAGTGAAAAGGCATTCCACACGTATATATTTGTAAACGTTCACAAACAGTGCAAGGACAACTATGATATTACAGTTGGCAGTATATGATTGTATGTGTGACACATGCATGCACACACACAGTAACAGTCCAAAACAGTTGCCGCATTTTTTAACAGGTTTTGTCATCTAGTGAATTGATCAATAATGTATATATAAATAAATATATATACTATATATGTACAGTACATACAAACTGTGGCACTTTGGCACAGAGGCAATGTATCTGTCATCGGTGTGTTATCTGTCCAGGGTTCACCTTCTGGGCAAGATCGAATCCCGGTTAAGGTGGTTGGTACCTACCAGTGGACTCACCACACGCAGTAAGGTTTAGGGGAGTTGGCACGGTGCTATGTGATTTGGGTGGCGGATGTATACTGTATATGCATATATATATATATATATATATATATACTGAATATATATATATTTATATATATAATATTAAGTAATAGCAATTAATGATGGTCGACTAATTGTGTCAATACACAGCTAATTATTTTATTACAGTCTAATTTTTTCTTACTTTAAAGCAGTGTTTCTCTATTATTTTCTGCCACCCCTAGGGGTTGAGAAGCACTGCTTTAAGGTACATAATCTAAACACTGAACTGATCAGTCTCGTAGATGGTCATGTTCAGCAGTCGCAGTCAACTCATAAATTCAAACATCCCCTGTAATGAAGACACATGCTCTACAGTATGTTGCCAGTACAAATACAGTGCAAAGCTATGAGAGAAAAGACACATGCGGACTTGTGAGGCACTAAGCTTCTGCAGACGTATGTCCACATTTTGGTTCAGAAGAAAAAAACATTAAACCTGTAAAAATGACCCTCCAGTCCCTTTGACCTTTATCTTACAGCAGACGATCTTGACAAACCTTGAAAAACTCCGTTCTCAGCTGAGACATGGCTAATATTCGTCAGAGCCTTTCCATTCTATAGATTCTATCCGACTCCATCCACTCAGAGTGTTATGGATTGTACTGTCTGACGACAGTCAACAGAACCACATGTAATCCCGTCTTGGTTTGGACTTTTATCCTGGACCTGTGTTCTTTCAAACGGTGACTCTGTGTTTCATCATTGCAACACACACTCAGTCTGCTGTTTGGCATACTTTCGTCTGCGCTGCTCCAAGCCTTGCTCCAGACGCTCATCCTCCTCAAGGGCTCTGAGGACAATCAGACAGAAGGGTCACTCTTTTACTTTACTATCTAATTGAAATTGGTTAGAAAGTTTGGGAATTGATAAATTTAAAATTCAAAAAGAAAAAAAAGAATTGTACATATATAGACCGTGCTTCTCTATAAGCCGCAGGTGTCCACGTTGTAACATGAGATATTTACACAGAAGATTTTTTTCACTTTTAATTAAATAAATGCATTTATCGGAACAGTGCCTGTAACACGCCTGGTTATACATTAGCTCTTTCCTGCTTCGGCACCTCGACCGTAGTTGGAATGCACAGGGGAGATTTAGTGATCTGTTGCAGGGCAGAAGCTAACGTTAGCTCCAGGGCTAACTCACTTCACTTTGGTCTCGTCTACAGCAGAAGTAAACAGAAACTGGGAAGTCGGGGTCTTTATTATCAGCCACAACAACTAACGTTAGCTCCAGGGCTAACTCACTTCACTTTGGTCTCGTCTACAGCAGAAGTAAACAGAAACTGGGAAGTCGGGGTCTTTATTATCAGCCACAACAACACATAAACAGTGTTTTAACAGCTCCTGTATAACCAACTCACACTTTCAACATGACAGGGCTCAAACTGCTCTCAACATACGCTACCGTTCTCTCTCTCTCTTGCACGACCCCTGCACATATAAGCACACAGCCATTCACAGACAGCCACTTGATACGGAATTCGTCACGCAGCAAAACTAGTTTTGTTGCAAGTTTGTGTGCACACTGCAAAGAAATGCCTCAACTAAAGCGCATTGACCTAAACTGATCTGACCTAAACTAAAATTCAGTGAAAACAAAAGTGTGTATGCTGCACTTTAACTACTTTTTCATCCTTTGGCTCGGTTTTCGTCTTATACGCCGATGTGTCTTATACATTAAAATAATATAATAATATAACTGACAGCCGCTAGAGGGCACTCTAGCTGGCTGGTGCGACTTATACTCCGAAACTACTACGGAAAATACGGTACATATCCATTGAAAAAACAGTTGTACAAAGAAATAAAACGTGTGTACAAAAATGTCCACCAATGCTGAAAAAATAGTTTATATTCTCTCATCTATTGTCTTCTGCTTAATCCTGTTCAGTGTTTGACAACAGTAATAACTGTTATTTTTTTTGCTAACTTCATAGTTGCTCTTCATCGTTTCTTATTGTATGCCTATTTTGTTCATTAATTTTATACTGTAGGTAAAAACAGGACTGGTAACCAGTGTATTAAAAATAACAAATAAATAATCACAGTTTACTGGACTGGATTGAAGCATCTATAAGAATCACTTAACCAAGGAGGATGAACTGAACATAGTGTGAGGATGGCAGCTGATGAGTGTGGACTGTCCCTTTAAGATGAGCTGTCAAATAATGGACAACTTCCTGTGTAGCGCATCAAAAGAAGCAGGAAGAGGCATAGTGAAGGGGACAGGACTATAACTATCTCATTATAGTTTATCTCACAATGTGTCGTCCACCATCTGCAGTTTATTAATGTCACTAGATTTACAGTAAACCACCTGTTTATCACCACTGCTCCAGGTTGTTTATTGAGCCTTCTGTTGCTCCGTTCTGTTAGGCAGCTGGACATTTCGCCTCTCATCCAAGAGGCTTCTGCAGTTCTTCTTCACAGCTTGAAAGCTTCTTTCCTCAACTGAGGTCAAATAATGGACAACTTCCTGTGTAGAGCATCAAAAGAAGCAAGAAGAGGCATAGTGAAGGGGACTGTGTCGAGCCTTCTGTTGCTAACTCCGTTCTGTTAGGCAGCTGGACATGGAATTTTCTTAAGAAGACATTTCGCCTCTCATCCAAGAGGCTTCTGCAGTTCTTCTTCACAGCTTGAAAGCTTCTTTCCTCAACTGAGGAACAGTTTCTGGTTGATGTAAGAGGGAACCCTAGTAGTTATACTTCTCCAGACCACTCCCTTCTCCACTTGACAAAAGAGTCACAAGTCAAGGTGGGACCGAAGGGTCGTTGTGGTCAACAATGCGTCAGGTGCTTATTCGCTTCATTCGCGTTGCATCAGAAGCTCCAAACGTGCCGTCTGATATAAAATTGGTGTCATTGCGCCCTTTACATTGATTGTGTAAGTAGAGTTGTTGCTCAATTTGCAGCTATTGCATTTGATGTTAACGCCCCATAAAGATAAGGGCAAAACAATGTCAGGCATTACGATCACATGCACACATCTTACCCTCTCTCTTTGGCATCCATATTTTGGACCAGTTCATCTCTCTTGTTTACCAGTGACACCAACTCCTGGAGCAGAAGATGTTCCCTCTGTTCATGAGCCGGTGTTTTCTGCCATTCTATTGCACAAAAAGAGAAGAGACAAAATGTATTGTTGAATTACCGTAATTTCTGGACAATAAGCTGCTACTTTTTTCCCACGCTTTGAACCCTGCAGCTTAAACAATGATGCGGCTAATTTATGGATTTTTACGGGCGAACGAAGTTCATACCGCTAGCAATCAATGACTTTTCTGCTAGGCTACTGTGTGTTATACTAGTAACGTATGTCTGTCCGTGAATGGCTGTGTGCGTATATGTACGCAAGAACAGTAGTTCTTGAAAGTTCAGAAAGTAGTGTTTATCTCCGACAAGCACAAAGTGAAGGGAGTTAGCTAATGTTAGCTTCGGTGGCATGACAGAAATAACTGAGAATTACTTTTTAACAGACACTTGTATGCAAAGCAAGTTACATCAAGCATTACGTATAGTATATGTTTTCACAGGGCCTCGACCTTGAGCGCGGTCAACCTTAGGGAAAGCTACAGTGCGGGAGTTTGAGGAACGTTAGAAGTTGTACCTTCAATTGCCATTAAGTCTCTCAGCTCTTTTTTCAGCAACTCAAATCTTCTCTCCAAGTCTTGTTCTTCTAGCCTGTGGAGATTTTCATTGCAAAAAATCTAGGGCTTTATCTAAATCAAATAGAACTTAGAAAAATATACTTCTACAGTTTTATTAATGTTTCAAATAGTGCGTGTTGGTAGTCTTACAGAAGCTGCAGATGGTCCTGCCTCCTGATTAAGGCGTTTTTCTTGTTCACCAAAACAAACCACTCCTGTATCAACCTCTCCTCCTCCACCTTGTCACTACCTGTAAGAAATATTACTGTGATCATGTACAGTAAACAGCACAATGTGTACATTGTGTCTTTAAATCCACAAATGTTTGCTCTTTCAAAGTACCGTAATTTCCGTTCTATAAGCCACTAATTTTTTCACACGCTTTGAACCCTGCGGCTTAAACAATGATGCGGCTGATGTATGGATTTTTAGGGGCTAACAAAGTTCATACCGCTAGCGATTAATGACTTTTCTGGTAGGCTACTGTGTGTTGTACTAGTAGCATATGTCTGTCTGTGAATGGCGGTGTGCATATGTGCGTGGGACTGTTGTGCTCGGTGTGGCTGATAATAAAGACCCCACTTCCCTGTTTACCTCTGCTGTGGACGAGACCAAAGTGAAGGGAGTTAGCCCCGGAGCTAATGTTAGCTTCGGCCCTGGAGCTGATCACTAAGCCTCCCCTGTGCATTCCAACTACGGTGGGGGGGCCGAAGCAGGAAAGAGCTAATGTGTAACCAGCCGTGTTACAGGGACTGTTCGGAAAAAAGGTTTTATTTAATTAAAAGTGAAAAAAAAATCTTTCTGTGTAAATATCCCATGTTACAACGTGGACACATGCGGCTTATAGAGAAGTGCGACCTATATATGTACAATTTTTTTTTTCGTATTAAATTTAGTGGGTGTGGCTTATATTCAGGTGTATTCAATAGTCTGGAAATTACGGTAGTTTTGTTAGGCCTTAAACAATTAAGATGACATGAGACCTGTTTCCAACAGTTGTCTGAGTCGTCTCTCAACTGCTCCTGCTCTGTTATCTATATGATTTTGTTCTGCCTCCAGAGCTTCCATCTCATTCAAAACATACTGATTGGGGTCCTGTGTGTATTTATAAACACAAACATGATCACAGACATATTCTACACTTTTTGTTGGATAAATGGTTTAATATTACATAAAACTGGCAAAAAAGAAGTAAAAATCTAGGGAATGTTTTCTGACCTGCCCCTCCTGCCTTTCCTCCTTGGCAGCAGCCTCTGCTCTGGCTGCAGTAGAAAAACAGACAGAAATTAAAACAGGTGACACTTCAAGGCCTTAAAAAAAAAACAAGGGTAAAATATATCTGAGACTAATTTTTTTTTTTTGCCTGTAGAAATAAGAAGAAAATATTTTCAAGATGTTCAGTAAATATGTACAAGACTAATTTTTTTTTTGAAACTTAGAAATATGATGATTACATTAATAATTATCTGTGGTTTGAGGTTTTTATTTTCTGAATAACAAACACAAACACGTGATTCTCTTACAACATTCTTGTGCATTGTACAGTGTTTGTATTGTTTGAGGACGATAAACTAAGACTTACCGGTTTTTGACTTTTGTTGGCTGAGTACCATGTCATCCTGGCTTGCAATGCTCTACAAAAACAATAAGACTTATTTGTAAATAATTTTTGAGTGCAGTTGTAATTTTTATTTTAATCCAAATAACTATTCATAATTAAGCAAGTTGCTCTCTCTCAGGGGTCAGGAACTTTTTTAGCAAAAAGAGCCAGAGAAAGTAAAATGTAATTTCCATGAGAGCCATACAATATATATATTTGCTCTGAATATAACTAAATTATTATATATATTATATGAATTTTAAGTATAATAAGTCTCTGAAGAATTACAAAAAGGTTATTAAAGTTATTTAAAAAAATTTAAAAAAACCTACCTTCGCTACAGGACCTGTACACCTCCAGAAACCCTACAGTGAGCTAAAAAGATTGCAACTGACCCCTCTCACCCCGGTCACAAACTCTTTGAGGCGCTCCCCTCTTGCAGGAGGTTGCGGTCCTCCCGGACCATTATTTAATTAAATTTATTTGTATACCTACAGGTACATTTCTTTCGCTTTACTGTATGCCACAACAAATTCCTCGTAAAACTTTTGATGTTTTTTTTTTTAATATTTTGACACTATGATTTCTGTAGTGTTTTACTTAAATATCAGCAAAATTATTTATTACTTACCGTGTTAAGAAATGACAGCTATGATATATCTGAGAAAAATTTATCAAATCATCTGGCTTTGGAGCCATAGGTTCCCGACCCCTGCTCTATCTAAATATATAAAAGTGCTGGGACTGGATTGAAAATATTACTAATACAAGTTTTTAATTCTATTTCAATCTTTTTTTCATCCATCACACTCGCCTGCAGCTACTACCCACAGTCAATGGCATAAATGGTGGTGGATAACATATTGGAACTGAATGCGCAGATAATTAAACTTATTGAAGGAAAGGAAAGTGGTTATTTTACGTAGTATATTGCATACATTTACATTTTATGCTGCCAATCCTCCATTTCAGTTCCAGTATTATTTGCAGTTCGAGTTTAAATAACATTTTAAATTCACTGACCAGTGAAGGTGTGAAATTCAGGGCCCAATAAAAAATTATATAAACTATGAAAAAGAAAAATCAATCAAAAGCATCAGCATAATACCTCAAATTTGGCTCCTTCATCTAGTGAACCACTCCGCCGCTGTGACCGTCGTTTCTTGACCAGATCGGCATCTTTGACATGTGAGAAACCTGTCTTGCACAGGAAACTAGTCCTCGGGGGTACAACAGGAGAGTGACTCCGACCTGCCCCATCACCCTGCGACTGCTTTGTTCTCGGGGGTGGAACCATGTCTCTGACGTCACTATTGTCATCTACAAAGGCTGAAGCGACATTAGTCTTGAGGGTGATACCCTCATCTTGCAGCTTTTGAGCACAATAGCGAACAGTGGCTTCTGGGTCTTCCTTATTGTCCAGGTCTCCTGTCACCGCATAACTAGACACACTGCTGTCCTTCTCTATGTGAAGCACACTGAGTTCCTGTCCTGTAAAATGAGTGCGGATCTGGTTGAGGTAAGTCATGACAATCAGCCGATCAGGCACAGTTGGGGTGACCATGTCGGAGGACTCTATCAGCCTTGAAATGCCAAGTACATCAAAGCCATCAAAAGCCTGTATTGTGTTCACGAGGAAAAAAAAAAAAGAGAAAGTAAATTTGTAGGCAATTAAACATACTATTTTGCTAATTTGGAAAATAAAATCAATTACCTTTTTGTTGTTGTTCTTGATGTCATATGGGTCCAGAATTTCGTAATTACTGGTACAGAGAAGGAAAGATATATGAATGTGAAACACAGTGCATGCACCACCAGCAGTTATTTAAATGTCCCTTACATCATTTCTGGATGGAAGTGATGTAATATGGCACAAAAGGCCAGACCATTTCTCCAGGAGGTGCTAAAGTTGGTAATCTTCAGCCCTTTATGACCCTGCGTGACTTCTTTACACCACTCCAGTAGAGATTTGCTCGATGTCACCAAGCTGGGACTCTGAAACACATTCCACAAATATTGTGGTTCACGAAATAATGAAAAAATAAAAACAATAAAAAAATAAAATAAATATATAAAAAAGTATATATATACATTTATGTATATATATAAAGAAATCTCCAACTGTCATTTTATTGGGGAGCTATATAAACACCTCACCGATATTTCGGAAAACATGGTTTAGTTCTAACAGCTAGTGCAAATATTTTTTTCTCATTCTTAACTAACCAACTAAGCATTTCAAGAATTGTCAGTCATTATTTCCGTGATAAAAAACATTTTCTAATCTAAAATAAATTTGTAAAAATTTTTGCAAAAAATACACTTAAAGACTTTGCTGGTAGCTTTGTTTACCTAGAGGAGATAGAACAGCATTGAGCATGCTCTTCTTTTCCTCATGCTGATTGGCTCATGCATTGTAGCCTCTTTCAGCATCTTCCCCATCTGTCCACCACTTGTTCACTTTGCTCTGCGCCGTTATATAGGTTTGTACTCTTGTGTTTAGTGATAGTTTACCCTATATAACTCGAATTGCACTCATCTGTGTCCGGGGCTGCACCTGCATGACTCCCGTGCTCTCCCACCTGGAGCTGAGCGTTAACTTCCGCCACGGCCCCATAATGTGCATGTACATTGAATTTTAATAAGAATGTATTTTACCTTGTTTTTCATGGTCGTGTATTTTATTTATTTGTAAATAATAAAGAATGTATTTTACCTTGTTTTTCATGGGCGTGTATTTAATTTATTTGTAAATAATAAAATAACTCTATCTCACCTCACCTCTACTTCGCGGATTTTCTTTTTATGCGGTGGGTACATGTAAGACGGCTTTGTTTACATTTGCAGGTTGTACGTCATACATTGGATTGCACTACTACCACTACGGTAATAGTGTAAGCCAGACCCTTCCTTGTACGTCATACATTGGATTGCACTACATGTAATAAACTATTCTTTGGTTTGTCCTTGTCTTATGTCCTAGATTATGATGTTACCGTGTGTTACATACATGTGTTAGCATTGGTGAGTGACATAGGTACTGATGTACAGTATGTAAGTTACGACTTACGTCAAAAATTGACAAAGGTATTGTAATAATGTCGACATATTGATCTGTGCTTTTTTTTTTTTACACCTCTGGGGCCAAAGTTACTTACTCCAAAAGAGGCACTGCCATCTGCTTGTTGACTAGTCTGATCACTCTTTACTGACCCACTCAACAGCTTGTCAGCATTAGCTACAGGTAGATGTTTACTTGATCCTTCTGTTCTCTTTGACTCCCTGTAAAAGCACAGACAGAAAAATAATTTTAAGTAATAATTATATAAAATAAAAATATGTTTCATGTGCCACAAAGGTTACATTAATAATTAAAAGTTTGTCCAAAAACAAAACAGTATAAAAATAGTAAACTGGAAAACGGGAATGTGCACTGCCGACAGTGAGTTTGCTTATTATAAATGAGAAGGCACACATCTCAAATGCAAGCAACTATCATTGCCGTCAAGTACTACACTTACCTGTCATCCTCTACTGACTGAGCAGCTAGATCTACTGACAAAAAGCAGTCGTCTAGTTCCTCATCCCTCTGTTCTTCCTGTGGAAATGCTGGTTTTTGTTCAATGTCTTTATAATTCCCTAGATGTTGCCTGTTGTCCCGAGAAGTTGGAACAGGAACTGCATGGGAATCATCAATCTGTTCATCAGGAAAGTGTTTAATCGGCTCCACCTCTTGGCTTAACTCTGGAATCATGCTTGGATCCATTGTTGGTTCATTTGCATCTTTGCTATTTAAAAATGTACCCTCTACGTACTTATATGACGATTTCACAGATATTCTATTTTCCACAAGGAGAGTATCATCTTTATCAATTGCACAGAGTTTCTTGGTTTGAGGTGAGGGAACAGGTAAAGCTGACTTTTCATTTAATTGATTTGTTTCACCACATTCCAGAACAGAAACCTTCTTTGGTTCACAGGGAATCGTAACATTGTTGGGGAAGGAACCACTGAAGCGTTTTTTTGACCTTGGTTTGGGAACAGGTAAACTTGAAGAGCTTGTGTTCTCTTGCGAAGTATCACTATCTTTCTCTTGACTCTTACTTTCAGTGCTTAATCTGCTTCTTCTCAACCTAACGTTATCAGTCACTTCTGATTTAGAAACAACAATGGGAGGATCTGTGCTTGAAGAAATTGACCATGTACTATCTTGCCTTGGAGCTGGTATCTCTAGTTCTGAAAAATTCTGAGGTGTTCTATTAGTAGGTGAGTATTCATCTAGTAAGCATCCAGTGAGACGTTTCCTAAAACGTGGCATTGGTATAAGCTTAGTTTCTTGTGTATCCTTCTCAGCCTTTATTTCTCCTGCACATTCTGATTGAAGGGATAATGATTGTCTACTACGTTTCGAAGAACGTATTTTCTTGATGATTGAGCTAGTGGTTTGATCAATGCACTCTTGCTCTTGCTGTAGTTCAACTGTATAAATGTTACTTGTTTCTATGGAAGTCACAGAAGAAGCAATCTGGACCATCAGTGGACCTTCTGATTCCGTAAGGACTTCTTCTGGGTCAAAGCAGGTTTGGTCAGCATCCTTTGAGTACACTAATTCTGCCAATACACCTGTTCCTTTGAGTACACTAATTCTGCCAATAAACCTGTTTCTTCAGAATGGTTTTCACTTATTTGTTCTTCACTTGCTATATGCTGTAAATTGCCGTTAGTGGCTCCTTGACAAGGTTCAATATTCTGTAAGGGTTCAGAAGCTTTAAAGAGATCCATACTTGTCTCAGTAGTTAGAGCAGGGCCACAACCCAATGTCGTCAAACCAGCATCAATGTTGGCTCTATAATCTTGCTGCTCCTCAATGATGCTGCCTTTTTTCCTCGGTGGTTTGAAAGGCAATGTCATTTGTGGAGGTGGTAAACTACTGTCCCATTTTTTAACACGGGGAGGAGCAGCAATATTCACCAACAATGGCACACATTCAGCTTGTCGATCATGGTCACTTGCATATGTTGCTATTTCTTGGATATAATCATTCTTAGGTGGAGTGATGCTACAACTTCCTTTAATTATGTTTTTAGACGTTCCAAGGCTGGGAATTTTCTCATTTAGATCCTTGTTTGAAATATGTACGTCAGCAACTTCACAACATGGCCTTAAAGCCAAACTGCTACAACTTCCTTTAATTATGTTTTTGGACGTTCCAAGGCTGGGAAGTTTCTCATTTAGATCCTTGTTTGAAAATTGTACGTCAGCAACTTCACAACATGGCTTTAAAGCCAAAAATTCATAGTTTTGTTTGCTGCCAGGTGTTAAATCATCCTTCCCTCCAAGTGGCTGAAATAGTTCATCTTTTATTTGACGCTGTCCTTCCTCTTGGGGCTTTAGTAATGTTCTTTTTGCTGTTGCATCTTGATGGGAAATGCAAACTTTTGTTTTAGATAAACTTTTATGATCAAAGGGTTTGTTTAGGGATTCCTGTTCCTGGATTTCATCTTTAGCTTCTAAAAAGAAATCATTGCATGTACGCAGCTGGTAGCTAGCAAAAGTATCTTCTGTGCAGTTCTGGCCAAAGCTTGAGAAAAAAAAGAGAAGGTTTAGAACTATAAAATGATATTTCCTCTGTAAACATTTCTTGCCAGTAGTTGTGATATGCAACTCATTGTCAAGCCAGAGCAAACTGAACTTATTTGTGCTAAACCTAATAAGACACTGGTATGTAATTATAGCACTTTTGTATGGCACAGCAGCACATGTAGAACAAAAGATAACAACTTGTACCATTTACACAATCTACACAGTTAATGCAAAAGCAACATCATCATTTTGGACAATGCTAATCCACATGTTACCAAAAAGGCTTCAACATCATCTTGTCACCATGCAACCATTTGTTTATGGTGCAGCGACACTCACCTGCTGGTCAGCTGAGAAGACGGTGTCACGGTTTTAATTTCACTGTCTTCTTCCTCTGTCTTACAAATTTCTAATAACCCTTCAGCCAGCAAGGATGTCTGAACTATGTTTTCTCCAGAGAGTCTTCCTTCCTCCTCAAGATACTGATCATGAGCATCCTCGGGTTCTATTATTTGTTCACCACTTGCATTTGATATATCATCAATATCTGATTCTGTCAGTGGGGGCCATTTCTTCATGCTTGAACAAACCAAGTGTTCATCATCACTGCATGAAGTCAGCGATGGAGATCTTGAACGATCAGATACCCACTTCTCCAAATAAGGCTCAGAACTTGGGGGATAATCAATGTCAATGTCTTCAACTTGGCCTTCTATGTCCTCCATAGAAAAAGTGCTTTTGACAAAATCTGGACAAACATTATCCGAAAGGGACTTGTCCTTCACCTCTGCAGACAAGATGTGTTTAGGTTGGTTATTGTCTTCATTTAGAGTAGAGCTTGATGGACCCAGTATTGAAACTACTGTTTCATAGCTGTGAAAATGGGTATGAAGAATCTCAATAGTCGATCCAGAAACAACATAAAAAACAGTATTTATGTGGATATATTTTTTTCTAAAAATACTAGGAGACCACTGTTGACAAGACTTGAGCTTTTGAGAATGAAATTTTCTTGATCTGTTTTTTGTTTTTATGAGATGCCACCAAATAGATAAAAATCAATCTATAAAAAAATAAATAGAAAAAAATATATATTGAAATACAAAATACACGTGATACTCCAAATAAATAAAAAATGCTTTTTTGCTTAGTCAGAACACAGGAACAACATATAAGGATAAACAACTTTTTAAACGTTTATGTCTGGCAAAAAGGGAGTGCACCTTTTTGATTACCTAAAAGATAATCCCTTAATCACAACATTTTTGGAATGTGAGTGGGAACTGAAAGTACACTATAATACAAATATTTTAAAAAGATTTCCGCACACCATGCCGCATGCAAAGACAACATTTTGGTGATGTCAAACTCACCCTTTGTGAAAAACACCAACAATAGCTTTGACTAATCCTGTTTCTTCCTTGTTTGCTGACAAAGAAGATTCTGCACATTTCTCTGTTACTGGTCCTTCAGCTTCCAACACCTCCCAACCTGCTACTGCCTCTGCTGTGTCCGGTGGATTCATCACTGTCTGGATATCCTCGTCTGCTATTTTGTCTACTGCACAATCAACATATAAAAGCCGTCTGCTATTTTGTCTACTGCACAATCTTTGCATTTGTCAACTGTTTTAAAGGTAAAAATAGAAACATATAAAAGAAAAGATACATGTATGTGTGTATATATTACAACTTGATAGTTGTTTTTGGCTATGCTGCAAATCTTACCATATGTAACTTCTGTGCTGGAGCTGATTTCTGTGTGATCCTCAATTTCTATTCCCTTGCAACATAGTAGAGTTGACTGTGCAGGAGGCATTACAGTTAATGAAGGATTTTCTTCTTTCTCTACTGAATAGAGTTGCTGAATGCTTGTAAAACCACGAGTTTCACTCAAATGTGGACACATTGGAGCCATTGCTACTATGCCTTTGTACTCTTCCACATTTTGTTTCACAGAAAGATTTACACTAGGAAAATCCTTTTCACTGTGGCACTTCACATCAAAAAACACTGCACGTGTTGCCCACATCTGTGCCCTAACATGCCTAGCACTGAGCATTCTTGCTGAAGGAAATCCTGGAACTTGTGAAACACATGGGGCAGATCCATATAAACTGACCATATTTGGTGGTCTATTTGCAACTGGGGCAGAAGGAAATCCGCAAATTCTGGCCTCTTTCGGGCAGGATGTCACTAATGTAACCATGTTGTTGCTACATAGCTGATACTGTTCAGAAAGTGTCTGAATTAAGTCAGCCGTTTTTTTTGTAGGTCCCTTCAAAATGGCCTTGGTTTCATTTAGCCAGTTTGTGCTTGAGGTTGAAGCTGTGGATGAAAATCCTTCAATGGTGGAAACCCTGGAGCAGCAAGGTGCAAAATGTATCATATTTGGGTTAAATTTGGATTTTGACAGTGGTGCAGAAGGGAACCCAGGGATGATGGATCTTTGTGGGCATGAAGGTATTAAGGCAAACATTGTCTTGGTTGTTTTTTCGTCTTCATATGGAATGTGTATCCGAACACATGTTTCCGTGGGAGACAACCTCCCTAAGATATGTTCTTCTGAAAGCCAGAGAAATTTTGATGCCCCTTGAAAGGAGGCAGATCCTGGGAAAGAGCATACCTTTGGACAGACGGGTAGAAAACTCAGCATGTTGTATCGTGGGTATGAGGGGAAGCCGGGAATCTTTGGTGCTC